GGCCTGGAAGCCTCATCCTGTCGTTGCATGTGGAGCTGAGAGCCAGCATGTAGTGGCAGGGTACAGTGATGGCACCATCCGCCTGTTCAGCATTTCCAGGACAGAGATGGAGCTGAAAATGCACCCCCATGCTGCTGCACTCACGGCAATTACCTACTCCACAGATGGTGAGGCTGCCTGTTATACCAATGGGGAGACATTGCCTCAGGGAACATGGCTTGGTTGTGCCTGGGAGACCCTGACCTCCAGCTGCTCTGCATACTGGCAACCTGCCCAAAAACCTGGGGCCAGGGAGAGCCAGAGAATGTGTATCAATGAGCTTTGATAGCTCTGCCAGCCAAGCATGTGGTAAATGGGACATGGGACATGTACTGGCAATGGTATAGCAAAGGGGCTCGGGTACAACAAACATGCTTTTGTGTCCTCCTGCTTAAAATCTACAGTGGCTTTTCTTCAGTGTGGAGTTTTAATGGGTGTCTCTGAGACATCTCATCTTACCCGGCACTTGACTCAGATGTTCCCAGCCATTCTCAATCTGTTGGGACACCGGTATCCGGTGATCTTGGACCTTTCTCCTATGGGCTTTTTCTTCTCCTACAACAAGTGTTCCATTCTTTTCCCTCCTCTGCCCACAGGAGAAATGATCTTATCGGGGGGCAAGGACGGCCTTGTGGCTGTCAGCAGCCCTCGTACTGGAATGACTATCCGCATCCTCGCTGACCACAAAGGGTCCCCCATCACTGTTCTCCAATGCACCAGGAAGCAGGTGAGACCTCGCCCTCTGCCCCAGTGCTGTGCAGGAGCGAGTCCCCCATGTGTCACTGCACAGCTGCAGGAAGCAGCGTGGCTGGGTTGGTCAGCAAGTTTCCTTCATTGTCCCTTGCTTTTCCTCTTTGGGTCCCCATCCCCTCCAATAATTTCTGTTCAGTTTTTCTGGGGATATATTCAGTGGAGTAGCAGTGCACATGTTGCAGGTGCAACCCGGGGCAAGACTCTGCCTGCGGGCAGGGGGACCATTGGGGGCTGTTGTAGACACACTGCACACAGATGTGACATGTGCCTGCGCTACAGGCTCTTGGAGAGCTGCAACCCTTGAGAGCAGCCCAGGCTGTGAGTTTTCAGCCCCTGTGCCCCCGAGAAAAGGCTCAGCGTGCTTTCCCCACATCGCTTCCTGGCAGCCTGGCCTCCTGTGTGTAGCTGGCTCTTTGTACCATTCTTCTGTGGAGCCGGGAAGACATGGTTGTCCAGCAGTGTAATGGTTTTAGCATCTTCTTTGTCCTTCTCTTCATGGAGAGTCTTTTTTTCCTTTGCGCAGTGGAAATTACAATAATTTTGCCTAAGTTCTCAGGCTTTAAAATCATCCATGCTGCAAGGCTGTGTTCCCTGGTAATTCTAGACTTGGGAGATCCTCCTCTGTTTTAGGTGAAGGACGATGTTAGGGGACACACAGTATCAGCAAGCACTCCCCTAGGAGATGTGCAGATCCAGAGGGCATTCCAGGGAAGAGATCTGTGTCGTTCAGGCCAGGCACTCACCCCTCCTCCAGCAGCCTCTTTTGCTGGGGCTTCAGCTCAGAGTGTGCTGCCAGTTCCAATACCGTGGCTTCTTTGTCCTATTTTATTCTAAGTGACTTCAAGCACTGCCCAAATGGAGGTTAATCCTGGCGTTAATCCCCTATGACATAAGGCCTCTGTTCCCACGGGCTTCTGCCCCACACTCGCTCTAGCGGCAGCTTCCTTTAAAGCTTCTGTACTGCCAGAGTCACAGCATTGTGTTTATCTTCCGTAGTACCATGACTTTGGGGTGGAAGGAGGTGAGCTCTGGCTGGCCACCAGCTTGGACCGGCGCGTCAGCATCTGGGCCTCCGACTGGCTGAAGGATAAGTGCGAGCTTCTCGACTGGCTCAGCTTCCCAGCTCCTGCTGGCCCTGAGGTGAGCATGGCACCTGCCAGCCCCTGCCTGCTTGTGGCACGGGTCTTGGCACCAGCCAAGCTGGAGGAGGAATGTCTCAAGGCTTTGAGCGGGCCAGGGCCAAAGAGAGAGTGTGTGCTTAGGAAAGTCATCTTCATTCTGCCACTCGTAGAGTATCTTATTAGTGCACTTTCTTGCATGTCAAAAGGCAGCGGGAATTGTAGTAGTGCCTAACCGCTGGGAAGCACTGACTTTGTAAGCATGAGGGGTCAAAAACTGCATCTGCAAAGAGCCGACACCCCTGTGCTACGCAAAACAGAGCATAGGCAGCAGGGAGCACAGTGCGCAGAAGAGATACCGAATTATGAGTGTGCTGCTAACTTTGACGCTCCCAAAGAGCATGAATATTCAGAGCCAGGAGCCCAGTGATGGGTTCATAAAGGCAAATACTCTAGCCCTGTGTGTCTGTGATGCTTTGCAGAACCCTTTGGCTCCAACCCAGGTGTGAAATTTGGGCAGCAGGACACCTGCTAGAAAGGGAAGGGGGGTCTGTATCGGGCAGGACATGGAGATGGTCCCCAGTGCATGTGACACTGGCATGCAGAAGGAAGATGGGTCTTTGGGGGGCAAGCGGTGGTGCCTCAGCCTGCCACCCTCAGGGCCAAGCACTTTCCAGGCCCATACAGCAGTTGGGTTCTGTCAATGCTTCTGTTTGTTTCCAAAACAATGGATTTCCTCTCCATGAAGGAAACTCACCACAGGTCTCCCCACAGAGACCAGGGGAAGGATTGATCTTGCATCCACTACTAAAGATCTATCTTCTGGGCTCTATTCTCTTGTGTTAAACCAATCCATAACCCAATCCCACCTTCAAGCCCATGTAGCAACAATGCGTCGGTGGAAATTCAGCCTGTTGGACCCTCATGTGTCCCACTCCTGGACACTAAGCAATTTGCTTCAGGTTTCCACAGCAGTGTGTAGTTGCTCCTTGCTTTGCTGTGACCACGTCCAAGATGGCAATGCAAGAGGGAGGAAATAGCCTCCATCATGCTAATTTCAAGCTGCGCGGACACCTGCAACCCAAGGGCTGGTGTCCTTCTGTGCTCTCCTTTTATCCTCTACTATGTTGGGTTGGGCTGGAGAAGCTTGCCTCAATTTTGTTCCTTTTGGTTTCCGTCACCAGGGTCTCGGCAGCCTTCTGACCAGCCTGGCTGCTTTCTGCCCTTGGGAACCCGGTACCCTGGTCTACGTTGGCTTTGGGATGCAGAAGGAAGCCTTGTTTTACAGTCTGCGCAAGAAACAGGTATTCATGCCCTGCCAGGGTGGCACAGGTGCTCCTCTGCTGCTTCTCTACGGGGCCGTGGCCGTGTCGAAAAGGTGCAGTGGAGGGGGAGGCAGTGCTGCCCTGTGTGTAAAGCCAAGCCTGAAGGTGTGAGGTTGGCTCAGGCAGGCAGCTGCTATGGGCAACAGCTTTTCATCTCAGAAACTCCCAAGTCTGGCCCAGGTGAGCAGCAGGGCCCTGCCTGTGCCTTGGGCTCTATCTGGGCAGGCTGCCAAGCCCTGCTGCCGCCCTGCTGCCTTTCAGTCTGACTGGAGGGAAAGGCGTTTGCTTTCAGGAGAACTAATGGTCTCTGAATCATTGAATCTCCTCTGGAAACCTGCCAGAGGCATCAACTTTCCAAGCTCTGAGAGGTGCAGTGCCTCTATCAACCTCCCCTTTGAGAGGAGCCCTTTACCCTCCTGACGACTGTCGCTGCAGCAGCTCTGGTCTCCCACCTTCTCATTTTGGTTTCTCTTGCTGGAGTGCAGGTAGTTGAGAAGATCTCCTTGCCATACTTCGCCACATCACTTAGCCTGTCTCCTGCAGCGCGCTTTATGGCTGTCGGCTTTGGCGGTGAGTACTGGAGGGTGCCGTGGGCTCTGCTGCCCAGGTGGCCTTGTCCCCAGGTTACCTTCAGTGGGGAGGGATCTCCCCTTCTTCCTGCAAGTGGAGGGAAAACCAAATGTCCTTTTTCCTTTGAACGAGAGAGACGTGCACACGCACCAGCCCCTATCCTCAGACCCTGGGAGCTACGGTCCTGGGACTGTGGGCAGGGTGTGTGTTGGCCAAGGAGAAAGCTCTGGGAGATTCATAGGTCAGAAATGGGATGAATGAGCTCAACCCTGTTTGTCAATGGGCAGGATTTGTCACTCGAATGACTTTGGGTTACGGGCTGTCATCATCTCTATGTCGCTGTGTGAGTTACAGCCTGGGAGGCAGAGCGGACCCTACCCCAGCACAGGGACAATCACCACCTTTCTCCTGTCAAGGGCACCTTGCTCCTGTAGCTGTTTGTATCTCCCTGGGAAGGCAGCATTTATGTCCATCCCGCTCTGACGGCAGCTCCCAAGAGGGAGGTGAGCTCCATGCCTGCCCCAGAGCTGCAGGGCACCTGCTGAGCCCAGGACCAGGCACTTCAGGGGTATGCAAGGCAGCAGAGCCGTACTAACACATGCTGCTGTATCCATTACTGCACTGTGACAGTCTGACATGCAGCATGGAGCTGCTGGGTCATGCTCTCTTGCCATCACCAGCTGTTAATTGCCCACTTGCTTGGGCAAGAAGCTGTGCTCTGTTGCTCAGCTTATCACTTGCAGCTCAGCAAGGGGGAAGAGGGCCTAGGGGCGTGACTAGGAAGCATGCTGCTGGCAGGGACAAGCCCCGTGGTGGCAGAGCCTCCTTCCCCTGGCACTGAACCCTCTCTTTTCTCTACAGAACGGCTCTTGAGGCTGCTGTGGTGCCCCACCAGCGATGCACAGGACTATGCTGGCCATGATGACACCGTCCACCTCTGCCGCTTTGCCCCCTCTGGCCGCCACCTCCTTACAACCTCCCACAGCGCTGTCCTTGTCTGGGAGTTCACAGGCGGCTGAGCCAAGAGTAACCCTGGACCAGCGGCGCTCCGCCAGTGGCGGAAGGCCGGCGGTGTCCCCGGGGAACAGGCTCTGGCTTCCCTGGGC